TCTTTGATCCCTATAGTTTCAGAAGCTACAGGACATTGGTTTATTGTCAAAACAGATGAAGGTGAATGACTGTTGGAAGCTGCTACATCACAACATGAAAACCTGCGGCTTATATTCAGGTGTGGCCTATATGTGGACAACATTGACTTTTCTTGTAAAACGTAGGTGGTGTGTCTTATATACAGGTGCGCCTTAAAGTCCAGAAAGAAACGTACCTGCTTTAAAAAGTAAATAACATTTTAAGTTGTTATTTTAGTAGTCCAAAGAGAAGTATACAAACGTGATTCAAGCAAATGTAATTTTACTGCAGCCGTGAAATAGAATTATTGTTAAAATCTAGATTGAATCATTGAGACATTGGTTCATAAGAGACAGAGACTTTATGGACTGCAGGTGACAGCCAGATCCTGTCAGACCTCTGTAGCTAAGCAGGGCAGGGCTTGGTTAGTACTGTGATGGGAGGGGCTGTGGCTATAAAGTACTAAACTGTGGCTCTGTTCTTAGGCAAGACACTTCCCCCAGATTAGAATGAGTCTGGTGTGTGTGTGAATGGTTGGTGGTGGTGGGAGGGGCTGATGGCACAGACTGGTTGCCTCGCTTCTGTCAGTGTACCCCAGGGCAGCTGTGGCTTCAGTAGTAGTTTGTCACCACTGTGTTTGGAGTGAATGATTAATGACGTCTTTTAGCGATATATAAAACCGATGCAATATTATTATTATTATTATTACATGACCATTGTTCATAAATGTTGATAAATGACCTGGAATCATTTCTCGTCTGTTTATTTACTTTACTACTTATTATTATTATTATTATTATTTACTTTACTAAATATTCTCAGAGTAAAAACACTTCTTTGGGTTTTTCCCCACATATTAATGAATTGTTTTGTCAGTTTTCATCTTTGACATTTGAACAGATTAGTTTATTTTCTTCAGTCCAGTCTCACTGAATCTCTGCGTCCTGTTGAATAATAATCTGTTTTGTTTTCCCACAATGTTGTGAAATTCCACAGTTCCTTGTATTGTGGCTTGGTGGCGCTGTTGCTCCACTCTCTCTGCATTTAGACTCTGGATCCTGACATAAAACTCATTACTACAATCAAAATACTCTTTAAAAGTACTTTCTGTCTTCTGCGAGTAAAGGCAAGTTTGACAGATTTGATGGAAGTTTTTGAGGAGAATTCATTTTTCTTACTTAAAATGTCTTGGTTTAAATCCAGAGGTTCTTATAGATATGATGACCTCATTTTATCCACGCTTTAGATAATTTACTTGTAAAACTGTATGTGAAATATTTCTAGAATAAAACATTCTAAATGCAGTCCATCTAGTGGTGAAGAGAGAGCATTACACAAATGGTTTATGTGCACATTTCTGTTTCTGTGTCTCTCTCTGCTCTCTGGTCTCTCTTTCTGGTTTCTCTGTACGGTCTCCCTCCGGTCTCTCTCAGGTCTCTCTTGTGTCTCTCTCTATGGTTTCTCTCTTTGGTCTCTCTCTGGTCTCTCTCTCTAGTGTCTCTCTCTCTCTCGGGTCTCTCTCTTGTGTCTCTCTCTTCGGTCCCTCTCTTGTGTCTCTCTCTCTGGTCTCTCTCTCTAGTGTCTCTCTCTCGGGTCTCTCTCAGGATTCTTGATGTAAAAAATGTTACATAATTATGATGTAAACATAAGGACATATTTTTAAGGAGGCCCCTGAAGTGTTTGAGTTTTTGATCAAGACTTTTTGACTCAGATGATACTTCCTCCTTAACAGACGGTTGCATGTCTGCCGTGTGTAATCCAAACATTCCACAAGTGTGGAATAAGTTTAAAATGTTTACACGGAAATATTTCACACATCTGTTACTTAAGGGCCATGATGAGTCTCTCTCTGGTCTCTTTCTGGGCTCTCTCTCTGGTCTCTCTCTGGTCTCTCTCTGGTCTCTCTCTTGTCTCTCTCTGGTCTCTCTCTGGTCTCTCTCTTGTCTCTCTCTGGTCTCTTGTCTCTCTCTGGTCTCTCGCTTGTCTCTCTCTGGTCTCTTGTCTCTCTCTGGTCTCTCTTTTCTCTCTCTGGTCTCTCTCTGGTCTCTCTCTGGTCTCTCTCTGGTCTCTCTGGTCTCTCTCTTGTCTCTCTCTGGTCTCGCGGCTATAAGGTGCAAAACTGTCACTGTGTCCTGAGACACTTCACCCACAGTAATGTGTTTTTCCTAGGCTGGTGGCTGGTCTTACCATGTGTAAACTCTGGTCCATGATCCTTTCCTACATGTACGTCTGGGTCTTACCCATAGACTATATATATTAACGGACGTAGTCAGGCCTATCTGCGCCGTTCTAACTAATGGGCCAAAAATGAGCTGTACTGGAGTGATTCAAAATGGCCACAGGGGCTGGAAAATGTAAAAAAACGCATCTGTGCATGTGTCAGCTGCACGAGCTCCATTCATTTAAACGAGAGACTTCAAAAGTCCACAGCGACTAAACTAGACTGGTCCAAAACACTGACATTGACACACATGTGGAACGGAGCTTTGGACCAAGAGCCAACTTTTGGTCCATCCTCTAAAGACGTTTTCGAGAGGTCAGCTAATGCTATATTTTAGCATTGGCTAATTTTTATTCCGGGTCCACCCCCACAGGCCCGGGGTGGTATTGCAACATGTCAGCGCACGTCATTTTGGACACTTTTGAGCCGGGACCCGTCCCCACTGGTCTTACCATGTGTAAACTCTGGTCCATGATCATTTCCTACATGTACGTCTGGTCTTACCATGTGTAAACTCTGGTCCATGATCATTTCCTACATGTACGTCTGGTCTTACCATGTGTAAACTCTGGTCCATGATCATTTCCTACATGTACGTCTGGTCTTACCATGTGTAAACTCTGGTCCATGATCATTTCCTACATGTACGTCTGGTCTTACCATGTGTAAACTCTGGTCCATGGTCATTTCCTACATGTACGTCTGGGTCTGATCCTAGTGGCTGCAGTTTCCTCGGTTGAATCTCCTCCGACCAATCAGAGAGCGGGGGAGGCGGGTGTTGTAGGTCGGTGTCGGTGACGTCAAGAGTTTGTGGTGAAGTTACTGGTTGTAGTTTGTCGGAGAATGCGATAGTAAAATAATCTGTTCTGGTTCAATCCAAATATCAAGAAACTGAAGCCGGAGCAAGAGGAATGTTTAGTAAATGTCATTGAAGCAAAGATGTTGTGGCTCTACTCCCCTCGGGCTCCGTTAGCGGCAAAGGAGATGGCTAAAGCTAGGCTACATGCTAAAGCTTGGTTAAATGCTAAATGCCTCACTCACTCTGGGACATTGAGATGAACTCAAAATAAAACCAGGTAAAAGTAATCAAAAGGTTCACACTATGACACACATCATTTATCACAGTTTTTGTAGTAACTTGATTTTGAGGAAACACTAATTTTGAAGTAAATCCAAACTTGAGATTTGGGGGTTTCCGGCGGTGACTCAGCCGCAGAGACGCCGGTGACTCACAGGTTTTAGCTCCATTAGTGATGATTATGATTATGTCGACAGAAGTGAGTGACGCGGCTGGATTTCCTGCTATTTTTAAGATTCATAAACTGAAAGTGGAAAGGATCAAACAACATGATGAACGGCAAAAAATATTTACCTATTGTGGTCTCTGGTCTCTCTCTGGTCTCTCTCTGGTCTCTCTCTGGTCTCTCTCTGGCCTCTCTCTGGTCTCTCTCTGGTCTCTCTGGTCTCTCTCTGGTCTCTCTCTGGTCTTCCTCTGGTCTCTCTCTGATCTCTCTCTGGTCTCTCTGGTCTCTCTCTGGTCTCTCTCTGGTCTCCCTCTGGTCCCTCTCCCTCTGGTCTCTCTCTGGTCTTCCTCTGGTCTCTCTCTGGTCTCTCTCTCTGGTCTCCCTCTGGTCTCTCTCTGATCTCTCTCTGGTCTCTCTGGTCTCTCTCTGTGCTCTCTCTGATCTCTCTCTGGTCTCTCTGGTCTCTCTGTCTCTAGTCTCTCTCTGGTCTCTCTCTCTGGTCTCCCTCTGGTCTCTCTCTGATCTCTCTCTGGTCTCTCTGGTCTCTCTCTCTAGTCTCTCTCTGGTCTCTCTGTCTCTAGTCTCTCTCTGGTCTCTCTCTCTGGTCTCTCTGTGGTCTCTCTGTTCTCTCTGGTCTCTCTCTCTAGTCTCTCTCTGGTCTCTCTGTCTCTAGTCTCTCTCTGGTCTCTCTCTAGTCTCTCTCTGGTCTCTCTGTCTCTAGTCTCTCTCTGGTCTCTCTCTGGTCTCTCTCTGGTCTCTCTCTGGTCTCTCTCTGGCCTCTCTCTGGTCTCTCTCTGGCCTCTCTCTGGTCTCTCTCTGGTCACTCTCTGGTCACTCTCTGGTCTCTCTCTGGTCTCTCTCTGGTCTCTCTGGTCTCTCTGGTCTCTCTCTCTCTGGTCTCTCTCTGGTCTCTCTCTGGTCTCCCTCTGGTCTCTCTGGTCTCTCTCTGGTCTCTCTGGTCTCCCTCTGGTCGCTCTCTGGTCTCGCTCTTTGGTCTGCCTCTGGTCTCTCTCTGTTTTATCTGACTCCAGTCTCTCTCTGGTCTCTCTCTCTGGTCTCCCTCTGGTCTCTCTCTCTGGTCTCTCTCTGGTCTCTCTCTGTGCTCTCTCTGGTCTCTCTGTCTCTAGTCTCCCTCTGGTCTCTCTCTCTGGTCTCTCTCTGGTCTCTCTCTGGTCTCTCTCTCTAGTCTCTCTCTGGTCTCTCTGTCTCTAGTCTCTCTCTGTGTTCTCTCTGTGCTCTCTCTGGTCTCTCTCTCTGGTCTCTCTCTGGTCTCTCTCTGGTCTCTCTCTGGTCTCTCTCTCTGGTCTCTCTCTCTGGTCTCTCTCTGGTCTCTCTCTGGTCTCTCTCTGGTCTCTGTCTGCTCTCTAAGGTATGTAAATATTATTACACTGAATCCTTTCTGCTCCACCCTTCATAAAGCGCAGTGTGTTCTCTGTAGAGGGCACTTCTTCTTCTTCTTCTTCTGTTTGACTCACGTGACCGAGTGAATCACATCCATTGATTTTACGATCGTTGTTCATTTCTCTGGGTTCAGTGTCATCAGAGCGATCATAATAGACTCAGACACACAGGGGAGCGTAGAGCCAAACCCATGAAAGAAACATGAGGAGCTCCACATCCCCTGCTGACTCGTGAGGCGTTCAGGGACACTGGAAAGATGGGAGAAGAAGGACTGTGATATGAGCAGACAAAAGATCCTGTTTTGATTCTGGGAAAGAAGGTGTGACATCACTTTGGACCTGACCTGAGCCATGTACACCGCAAAAAATGACAAAATATGTAATAACAGCCTGAATTTAGTGTTTTTTCCTCAAATTCTGACAGTGTTAAAACATAATTCCACAGCTCAGTCAAAATGTGCTCAAATTAAGATACATTTTGCCAAATTTGAGATATTTTTGACGTATTTTTCATGACTTTTTGCAGCGTTAGAAACCTCCACATAACTGGTTTTATATTAGATGTTTCTTGGCGATGCAGGAGGGTCTAAGGACAGTGGTGACGATCAGAGACATTTAGTAAGTAAGTAAGTAAGTAAGTAATGTTTATTTATATACCGCCTTTCACAGGCAAGGGTCACAAAGCGGTTTACAATTGTTATTATTTTTTTGGGCACTTGTCCTCTCACTCCAGACAGAGATGGGAGCGGGGTCGCCGAACAGAAGGCGCATGCCAGACCTATTGTACATATTTTTAGTGGTAGGGGAAACCGGGCACTTTTTATGGACATTGGTCTCTGCTGCTCTTGAACCAATGGCTCTACACTGGAAAAAATAAGAAAAAAATATTTGAAAATAAGCAAAATACTGCTTGAAATAAGAAAAATGATCTGCCAATAGAACGAGACAATAAGACTTGAATAAGAAAATAACACTCGCTATTAACACTATTTATCTATTTCTTGACAAACTACATTCAAGAAAAAAAAAAACATTGCCATAAAACAGGGGTCGGCAACCCGCGGCGGCTCCGGAGCCGCATGCGGCTCTTGAGTGCTCCTGGAGTGGCTCCTGGAGCCTTTTCAAAAATGTCTGAAAATGGAGTGTGAGGGCTATATTTTATTTCTAGTTTGAATGTGGTTTCTGTAGGAGGAAAAACAATCTTTACGTTTTTAAATGCTGTAAAAATATGTATAAGTAATATCTAATTTCAACATTTCTGTCAACGTAGTGCGTCATATTCTATGACGCGCGGTCACGCGGCCCCGCCCCATGCCGCTGCTGTAAACAAACCGGCGTGTGTGCATCATAGACTGTAAGTGCACATGGATCCCAAAGCTAAAACGAGAAAGAGTCGATAACAAGACTGGACTAAGAATGAGAATGAACATTTTCTTTCAGTCAATGAGGAAGGACTGCTTCATGTTTGTAATGAAAAGTTTTGTTGCAACACGAGGAACAATGACGCGCAAAACGACGTAAACGGCGATTACGTGAAGGATTCATTCATCAAAAATTCAGAGCACCTATTTTCAGACTTCAAAACCTTCTCAAAGATGGTGAAAGAAAAGGCCATTAAGGATTTTAATTCAGCTCCAGCAAACTTCAGCCTGTGACGTGATCGATATGAGCAGACAGTGATGCAGGTATGTGACCTCTGAGCCCAAAGCAGAATGATTTACTGTATTTCTACAATTGCATGAAGGCAAAAAAAATGGAAGTTAAACTAAAGCAGAGTTGTCACATGTTGCGTCATTCACGACACGCGTGGTGCGACACGCTGCAGTGAAAATACACATTTGATAATCATGAATGATTATTATGTATTTGTAGCCTTTACTTTGTCATTTAGATATTAGGCTAATATAGCTAATACATCTTGCGTCCTGTGTTACCTTCATAAAAGCCTTATACAAGGCTGTTATTTTTTTGCGGCTCCAGACAGATGTTGTTTTTAGTTTTTTTGTCAATTATGGCTCTTTGAACATTTTGGGTTCCCGACCCCTGCCATAAAAGAATAAGCTTGAATTATGATATTTTCTGTAAGTAAATCTTAGGGCTGTACAAAAGTAAATTGAATTGATTTGTCATGACACTAGGATTAATCTTTGGGCCTGTCCTGTGCGGTTCAGACTCAGAGCCTGAAGGTGGTGAGTGAGATCCTCGGGTCTGACCAGAGACTGTAAATATGAAAGTCAGACGTGAAAAGTGACGCACAGCTGTAGATGAGTCGCTGGAACAGGCTCCTGTGGGTTTGTAGTTTCAGAAAGTTCAAAAAGTCGTCCTTCTGAATACACTTTTAATCAGACAAATGTGTACAAAAATGTTTTCACTATACATTATTCCTTTATTCTCTGGTCTCTCTCTGGTCTCTCTCTCTGGTCTCTCTCTCTGGTCTCTCTCTTTGGTCTCTGTGGTCTCTCTCTGGTCTCTCTCTGGTCTCTCTCTCTGGTCTCTCTCTTGTCTCTCTCTCTGGTGTCTCTCTGGTCTCTCTCTTTGGTCTCTGTGGTCTCTCTCTGGTCTCTCTTTGGTCTCTCTCTGGTCTCTCTCTCTGGTCTCTCTCTTGTCTCTCTCTGGTCTCTCTCTTTGGTCTCTGTGGTCTCTCTCTGGTCTCTCTCTCTGGTCTCTCTCTTGTCTCTCTCTGGTATCTCTGGTCTCCCTCTGGTCTCTCTCTCTTGTCTCTCTCTGGTCTCTCTCTGGTATGGAATAAAGAAGGATTTACCTTCAGCACGTTGGCTGAGTGGATAGTGCTCTCGCCTCTCAGCAGTTTGCATGTTCTCCCTGTGCATGCGTAGGTTTCCTCCGGGTACTCCTGTTCCCCCTACTGCTAAAAAACATGCACACTAGGTAAAATCCTCCAGCTCCGGTCCTGACCAAGCCGATCTGCAAGCAGATCTGGAGATGGGTTCCCGGGTGCTGTTACTACGGCGACCACTGCTCCTGAGTTAAGCATTAGCGGCATCAGGATGGGTCAAATGCAGAGGAGGAATTCGGGCGTTCTGCTCTCCCAAAATTCCATCCGATGGGCGGGGGAGTGACTGAATTTTGCGTTGCATTATGGGTAACACTTGCCTTCGCAACTTCCGGTTCTCTCTGCCCGGCGCATTTTCTCTAAATGGTTGAGTGTTTTTGTCATTTTCTGTATGCAAATACATTCCCGTCTCTAACTAGTGGCATATCGTGCAAATCATCCGTCCAATTCACATTCTTCCCTCTTAGCTGAACTTCATTCTCATTGTTACCATCTGTCACTCGCACACACAGCCGTTTTCGTTCACTCTGCTCGCTGTCGTCTTCTTCTAAATCTTCATAAACACCATCCGCTCGTTGAACTAGCAACAACAATTCCTCCTTTCGTTTTCCCACACTGCAAATACCCTTTCGCTTCAACCTTTCACGCAATTCAGGCACTGTCAATCGTTTGTTGTTTTCGTGAGCCATATTCGCCATTGTATGAAATCAACCGGAAGTGAACTGGGCAACAAACGGTGTCATTTTTTGATCACAGCGCCGCTCAGTGGATGAAATTTTGGAAGAGCAGAACGCCCGAATTGCCCTACGGGGGTAAATAAAGTGCACCCTTAACAACAATTACAAATAAAAAAGATAGAAAAACTTAAATAATTGTACCTAACTAAATGTACCTAAGCTTTTTATTTGCTAAGTGAGCCAAAACAATATTTTTGGTTAAAATAAAAACACAGGAAAAACAAACTTTACTAATAAAAAATATTTTTTGGAATAAAACCAGAACTGTTTAAGTGAGAACTATACGCTTCCGTACCTGGGGACACAAATACATAATTCTTCCCATTATTATTTTTAATTTAAAAGTTAGAAAAACAGAAAATCCCCAATCTCCCACTCCACTTGAACGCCTCACTCCTCCCTCCCCCCTCCCCTCCTGTTGCGCATGCTCCGTGCGTCTCCTCCTGTCTGCGCTGCTTGTGCTTCTGCTGCTGGAGGAAAAACTTTACCACTTCACTCTTCACTTACCCTCATCTTCATCACGGGAGACCCAGGACAATGCTCCACACCACCGGCCCCGTCACACCGTGAACCCCACCCCCGGGACATGGCTCTCCCCTCGGCCTCTCTCTCCCACCACCGCCGCCGCCTCTGGGCTCCTCTAGCCCCGCGGCTGAATGGAGCTACCCCCGTCGGACACAGCGTGCAATCGGCTTCCTCTGCTCCCCAGCTCCCGCGTTGCCTCTAACCGGACCTAACCCACTCCCAGCCCGATGCACTCTCGCTAAATCTCCCCCATTCCCACATTTGTCACCCGTCCACAAGAATCAACATGTCTGACCAGAATTACTACTGGACCGTGCTGCCCAGCTACAAAACGAGCTTCGTGACTGGAGCGATGATGAAACGCTCAAAAAGGTAATGCAAATGAAGGTCATGTACTCTGCAGGCTTCACGAAAATATTGCAAATTCTGTGCATGGATGACGCATTGCTGAGCGAGTGGTCCCCTCTTCTCTCCCCTCTTCTCTCCCCCATGTCTGGGCTTGTCATTATCTCTCTCTGGGCAATGCCAGTGGAAAAAAACAGCGATTTGTTGAGTTCCACGCTGGCTTTTCTAGTGGAAAACCCAGATCCAGGTTGTGTTTGGGGGTTGTCCTGGGCTGGGATCGTCTTGACAAAGCTCTGTTTGGGTTTGAAGTGTTGTAGTTGTCGCTCACGTCCGCCCATGTTTTTTGTTGCCGAGTGCAGAGGCAGAAAACGTGGCCATTGTAAAAAAAAAAAAGAAAAACCTGCTGGGACTGGGAATATGTACTGTGCTTTGTCTGACAGACGGAGGAACAAGCTGGTATCGGTGTAGAGTAAGAGCGGGAATAGGCAAAAATGTGAGGATTCGATAGTATTGCGATACTTGCGTCACAATTGAATATTATCGCGATTCTTAACGTATTGCGATACAGAAGGTATTGTGATTTCATTCTGTGATATATCGGGATTAATTTCACTTGTGTTATTCAAAGGCATTACAAACAATGCAAAAAGCAGACGTCATAGAGTCGCAACAAGCAGACGTCATAGAGTCACAACAAGCAGACGTCAGAGTCACAACAAGCAGACATCATAGAGTCGCAACAAGCAGACGTCATAGAGTCGCAACAAGCAGACGTCATAGAGTCGCAACAAGCAGACGTCATAGAGTCGCAACAAGCAGACGTCATAGTCGCAAGCAGACGTCATAGAGTCAAAACAAGCAGACGTCATAGAGTCACAACAAGCAGACGTCAGAGTCGCAACAAGCAGACATAGAGTCACAACAAGCAGACATAGAGTCACAACAAGCAGACGACATAGAGTCACAACAAGCAGACGTCATAGAGTCACAACAAGCAGACGTCATAGTCGCAACAAGCAGACGTCATAGTCGCAACAAGCAGACGTCAGTCACAAGCAGACGTCATAGAGTCACAACAAGCAGACGTCATAGAGTCACAACAAGCAGACGTCATAGAGTCGCAACAAGCAGACATAGAGTCGCAACAAGCAGACATAGAGTCGCAACAAGCAGACATAGAGTCACAACAAGCAGACGTCATAGAGTCGCAACAAGCAGACGTCATAGAGTCGCAACAAGCAGACGTCATAGAGTCGCAACAAGCAGACGTCATAGAGTCGCAACAAGCAGACGTCATAGTCGCAACAAGCAGACGTCATAGTCGCAACAAGCAGACGTCAGTCACAAGCAGGCGTCATAGAGTCACAACAAGCAGACGTCAAAGAGTCACAACAAGCAGACGTCATAGAGTCGCAACAAGCAGACGTCATAGAGTCACAACAAGCAGACGTCATAGAGTCACAACAAGCAGACGTCATAGAGTCACAACAAGCAGACGTCATAGAGTCACAACAAGCAGACGTCAAAGAGTCACAACAAGCAGACGTCATAGAGTCACAACAAGCAGACGTCATAGAGTCGCAACAAGCAGACATAGAGTCACAACAAGCAGACATAGAGTCACAACAAGCAGACGTCATAGAGTCACAACAAGCAGACGTCATAGAGTCACAACAAGCAGACGTCATAGAGTCGCAACAAGCAGACGTCATAGAGTCACAACAAGCAGACGTCATAGAGTCGCAACAAGCAGACGTCATAGAGTCGCAACAAGCAGACATCATAGAGTCACAACAAGCAGACGTCATAGTCACAACAAGCAGACGTCAAAGAGTCACAACAAGCAGACGTCAAAGAGTCACAACAAGCAGACGTCATAGAGTCACAACAAGCAGACGTCATAGAGTCGCAACAAGCAGACATAGAGTCACAACAAGCAGACGTCATAGAGTCACAACAAGCAGACGTCATAGAGTCACAACAAGCAGACGTCATAGAGTCACAACAAGCAGACGTCATAGAGTCACAACAAGCAGACGTCATAGAGTCACAACAAGCAGACGTCAAAGAGTCACAACAAGCAGACGTCATAGAGTCACAACAAGCAGACGTCATAGAGTCGCAACAAGCAGACGTCATAGAGTCAGATTCAGATTCAGATTCAGATTCATTTATTTGCCATTTGCAGTAAAACCACATTGGAAAAACTGTGCAAGACTACCCCGGTGTGCGCCAGACAGAGACGACACACACCAGAGCTCTTGCCACGGCGCCATTTTTCCGGCGCCATGCGACAAACAGTAGAATAAACAGCAGAGAGCAATAACATACAGGTTACAACAGACAGTTGGATAGAAAACATTGTGCTTTGTATAAACCACGGATTTTTTTTCGGGATGAGCACCTTCTGCAGCCGGTCCAATGTGGCTGTCAGAGGGGGGCGGGGTCAGGGAGGGGGTGAGTCGGAAACACAGTGAGGAGGGGAGGGGAGGGAGAGATCAGAGGGAGGCGGGGGGAGCGGGATCCAAGCTGGAAGACTGAAAGAGTGTGAAATTTTTGTAGAGACCAGATTTATTATGATGGCCTTGGCCCGAGGAATGTGAGATAAGAGAGGAGCAAAGACACAGCAAGGAGAAAAACGCGTCTTCCTGTAACAAGGGACAATCTAGTATGCATTTTAGCAGTCAAAAACAGGCAGATATTCTATTAAATCCAATTAAACCGAATTGCGGCGCCCTCAAACCCCGTACACAGGGGCCAATCCAAGCCGGGTCAGAGAGTTCAAGCGTGACAAACAATGTCATTCAATCTCAATTCCAGAGTTTTATGCCCATCAAGTGAACGAGCTGCGAGATCTCTGATCAACTGTTCCACCAAAACCACTCTTCTTTGTCCAGCCACGGCGCTCTCAACCACGACTCGGTTAAGCTCCTTGTACATCCCATCAATTTTGTTGGCCAGCAGGTCGTGAATCTTGCGAACTGCCATGCCTCCGAATTTATGGTAGAATAGAACCGCTCCAAACCCAAACAGGAGGATCCCCACCACCAAAAAGCCAAAGATATATACGTCTTCCGAATCTTCAATGGACAGGGTCGACAGACAGAGGGGCTGCCACTTGTTCCAGCTGTCAAGAGTATACCCCGCTGGTGAAGTCCCGTCCGGGCACTCGGGCTCTCCAGACCCACGCTTACGTGTTGAAAAGATAGAATCAATTGCGTTGAGGGACCAATTTACCATTTCCATTCTTGCTAAAAGTTGTCTGTGGCAAAACTCCAGGAAAAAGACAAAAACAGGAGATAGCAAGCAGTCAGAAGCAGGAGCGTCTGAGACACGTCTTTGCTCGACGGAGGCGGAAGAGCAGTTGTAAGACGTCACAACAAGCAGACGTCATAGAGTCGCAACAAGCAGACGTCATAGAGTCACAACAAGCAGACATCATAGAGTCACAACAAGTATGTGTGTTTGGATTGTGGCTGTCAGAGGAGTTGAATAATGAAGCTTGTTTTGGACAAAAAAGTAATTATTGTTTTATGGTTATTGATCGTTACAGTGAGATTGAAGAGTAACTAGTTTCTTACTGTAAAACTGTGGCTTAGATTTGGACAAAAGGGGATTAAAGGAGGACATTTTAGAGTCAATAGATTTTTGAAAAGCTTAATTTACCGGTCTAGTATTTAGTTGTTCAGTATTTTTTCTTGATACTTGTATATTGTTGACAAATCATGTATTCAGAATCAGAATTACATACCGTATATCTCACATTTGGCAGTTTCAAACCCACATAATGCATTATTTTCCAAGCAGGAAGAAGCTGGAACACTGCTTTTCATGGACTATAGGAGTTGTATGTAAGATTTCAGTATTAACATTCATGGAAAGCCTTTGTCTGATATCTCTGGAGTCACCTACCACCCATCCCCGCCCCCTTTCTCTGTATTTATTTGTGATTGAACAACCTTTTCTGACCCCCGGTGGTACTGAAAATGAAAAACCATTTTGTCTTCTCACTTTTGAGTCTCATTTGAGTCCCATCATATCTTAATTAAGTACAAAACCTCTGACTTTAGCATAATAACGAAATAATTAAGTATAAAACACCAAACTTTAGCATGTATGTGTATATATGGATAATTAGGACTGCGCTGATACGACACTGGCATTGGATTTTGATGATGTAATAAGTCTGATAACTGGCTGATTTTAGTCCAGAATATCATTAACAGTAGATAATGGAGGCTTTTTCTCAGACTCTAGTTCTGTAGTGACGCACAGAATCACATAGAATACATAATTAGTCCGATTTATAAGCTGTTATCTGAGATTGGAGGCGTGAAATTGCACCTCACTGTTATAGGGTGGCTGAGTGGTTATCACTGTCGCTCCCGGACGGAACAGGGCCTTTCCCAAGTGGCGTTTGCATGTTCTGCTCGTGTCTGCGTTGTTTTCTTCCGGGTGCTCTAAAAACATGTTCAATAGATATGAATGGATGGTGTTTGGTCGGAGGCTTTGATGGTCCAGTGTGGTTTGGCGTCGCGCTTCTGTCATCACTGTGTGGAGAGAATGGAAATATATCTGAACTCTGAACATTGTAAAGCGCTTTGGGGTGACCTTGGTCTGTAAAAACTTGCAATATTACATAACATATTAGTCCGGAATGTCGTATATAGTAGATAAAAGTTTAGTTGTGGCGTTCAGAATCGCATGGAATACATAATTTAGTCCGATTTATAAACTGTTATCTGAGATTGGAGGCGTGAAATTGCTGTCAAATCACTGGTATCTGCAGATATAGAACCCAAAGAGGAGTGAGTGCGCACTGGGATAAAAAACATACAGGGTGACCGTGGGTGCTCTTCAAGGATCCGTAGAAGAGAAAAGTCGAAAACATAGAAGAAAATCGTCCCCATGGCCCCAAAAACACATAAACAAATGCCATTTCTAAACACTTGACCCATTCACACATCACCTTCAGTCTGAGGTTGGATAACTGGTATTTTAACTACCAGCTTTCTTCTAAGCCTTAA